TCGAGGCGAAACGAAGAATCAATTCTGAGCCACAGCCAAATAACCTTATAATCTACATAAATTTTCCTAATTAACTGAATTATAACGTGTTGTTGTGACAGGCCCAAACTAACTTATTTCTTGGTTGAGGCTCTAAACAGTGCTAAAAAACTAAAAAGCATTAGTAACTCAACAAGTACCTTAATTCAATCTGGTGAGTCGTATCAATTTTGCTTCGATTTTGGGGCAGAGGGTTCCCTTGTGAAAGAAGCTGTAGCCCACAAACTTTCGGGAAAACGAATTAACAACGTAGTGATTCTTAAGGGTATTGCAAATGTTATCAAATGTTAAAATAAGCGAATACTCCCGTGAAGTTCTATTTCATGTTGTTTTAATTGATTGCTTAAATTATGATATTATAATCGGCCGCGAAATTCCGTATCACGACTTTACTGTCACTATATCAATCGATAGGTCATATTGTTTAAAAAAAATCTGTATGTGCTGTGGCTGTTACTAATAACTGCTCTGAGCTAGACAATATCGAGACTGAGTAGTGCAATGTAGATAAATCTCTTTTATATGATGTTTTAAAAGAATATTCCCAAAAGTCAAGTTACAACAGGTCAATTAGAAATACGCTTAATCTATTCAAACTAAGCCGTTCAAAGACGACCATACCGACTCAGCTCAGATGAAAAGGAAATAGTAAGAAATATTAGAAAAAAATAAGAATAAAATATTATTCGCCCTAGCTGTTGACCGTTCATATACTCCATTTAAAAAAAAAATGGCACTGATCGACTATGCGTTGACTATCGCGAAGTGAATTCGAATACTGTTGCTGATAAAAAATATGGCAAGTGGGTTTCACCAGATCCCAATTCACCCAGACTCGATTAAGCATACAGCCTTCGTTACTCCAGAAGGTCAATACGAGTTTCTGGCCATGTTTCGGTCTTAAGAATGCACCATCTGTCTTCCAATGTGCCGTGATGAAAGCATAAGGTGGGCTTGCTAACTCTTTTGTCATTGTTTACAGGGATGATATTATGATAACTTCTTAAGCAAAATAAGAGGCATTTGAAAGATTCTCTTTTAAAGCCGCCAAATGCATTTTCCTAAGATCTAGTGTCGAATACCTGGGTTTTGAAATTAGAGAAGGGGCATTGATTGACTTGGCGCCCCCACAGTCTGTTACCCAAGTGGCTTGGCGTCGTACTTTCGACAATTCATGCCAAAGTTTTCACAAATAATGAAACCAGACTTACGTGCAAGAATAAAGCATTGAAAATTAGATCATGAGCACATTCGCAAAAGGTCATAAAAATATTGACAGACGAACCTGTGCTTACCATATACGATCCTCAGCATCCAATAGAACTGCATACAGATGCCCGTATGGATGGTTACGATGCAATTTTATTGCACAAAATCGATAATACGTTCAACGTTGTTGAATATAACATCAAACGAATTTCGCCTCCAGAATCTCGATATCATTCATACGAATTGGACACATTATCTGTATTCAATTCAATAAAAAATTTTCGTCATTACTTACAAGGCCGACATTTTCTCGTTCACACCAATTGTAATTCACTAAAAGCTTCTCGCAATAAAATTGATCCTACGCCTAGAGTCCATAGATGGTAGGCGTATATGCAGTCCTTTAATTTCGACATACAATACAGACCAGGTAGTGAAAAGTCACAAGTAAATTTCTTCTAACGTAATCCCTTACCTATAAAAATATCTTCCCAAGATCCCATCGAGTGTGCAATTGGCCGAGATAACGGAAAATTGGCTTCTTACCGAACAACAAAGAGATCCTGAGACTTCTTCGATAATTTAGAATATTCAAAACGATGAAATAGAGGAAAGTGTAGCGATTTCTTATGAGCTTAGATCAAAAATGCTATTTCGGAAAATTCAAAGAAGCCGTAAAACTCGCTGTCTATCAGTTATCCCCAGATGATTTAAATAGTCTGTAGTAAGCCACGTCCATAAAGCAATTGTACGACTTGGTTGGGAAAAGACCCTAGACAACATGTATGAGTATTACTTTTCGAAAACATGTCTAAATACGTGCGTAAATTTGTCGAACGCTGCATTACCTGTAAATTGACTAAGCCACCATCAGGCAAGATTACAGCAGAACATCACCCAATACCCAAAGTAGACATTCCGTGACATACGGTTAATATTGATATCACTGGCAAACTGAGTGCAAAAGCGTTCGAAAGGAATATGTTATTGTCCAAATTGATGCATTTACCAAAATCACCTATTTATACCATACTGTAAATATTTATTCCGAAAGCTGCATCAATGCTTTGAAGTCATCCATATCCTTGCTCGGCGTACCAACAAGAATTATAGCCGACCGTGGCAGATGTTTTACGGGGTCAGATTTTAGTAAATTTTGTTCTATACATTAGAGCAGGTCGAGCGCGTTATGAGTGTGTTGAAACGTATGTTAACCGCTATAGAGAGTAGCGAGCGTTCCTGGCAAGACGCTTAAGGTGAAATACAATTGGCCATAAATTGCATGACAAATGGAACTACGAAATATAGTCCTCTAGAATTGTTAATTGGAAAAGAAGCTAGACCATTCGGTATGTTATATGTGTGTGAAGATAATAGGAAAGAAGACGTAAGTTTATTGAGAGAAATGGCTAAAGAAAATATAAAAAAGAACGCTGTCTATGACAAAATTAGATTCGACAAAAACAAATCAAAATTTGTAATATTTAAGATAGGCGATTATGTATTGCTCAAAAACGATGAAAGACACCAGAAAAAGTTAGATCAAGGGCCCATTCTTAGTGGCAGAAGTGCTCAAGGGAGATCGATGCGTTGTAAAGTCATTGGCTAACCAGCGAACTTATAAGTATTTGCATGAGTCGTTGAGATGTACGCCGGCAGAGGGGATTTCCATTAAGTTAGACTCGTGAGATAACGGCTTTGAAAGAGACGTCAATGACGCATTAGAGGATTCTAATGACAGTAACGGCGTTGAAAGAGACGTCAGTGATGCATTTAAGTACTCTAAAGATAGTGACGGAGTTGAAAAAGATTTCAATGATGCGTTAGTCGATTCTAACGAATAAGAGGCATTGGCGTATCCAATGTAGTGGAGGCATTGATGGATTTCAATGTGAGATATCAGACTCTATACTTAAAGGTCACGCTGTTATGCTAATTCACTTTCTTACTTGTCCAGCATCTGGTGAGTAGCTTGACAGTAGGGCCCTGGATTGGAAAGTGTCCTGATTATCTAGTAACTTCACAAGAGAGTTGTTAACTAATGGGAAATCACTTATATGCGGATATACTAAGACGCAGTTATCATAATACCCTGTACTTCTGTCATTGAGTTGGCCCTTTAAAAAATAATTTTGAGGTTGTTTTTTTTTTATTTAAATTTTAAATAACTTTGCTTTCATAATTTTGGATCAAATTGTTATTTCAGATTAGGTAAAGCGTATTGTAACTTTCCTTCTTTATTCTGTAACACACGAGGCCGTGTGATAGTCAGGAGAGCCGTGTCGTGGAGTTTAATTTTAAGTATTACGAATGATAATGAATAAAAGTATGAATAAATCAATTTTATGAATTTCACAAGACTACGTTGCTTGTCTAATTTATATTTAGTACTCTGTCCAGCGCAGCCTAAGCGGGACAATAAGTTAGAGAGAGGAATATACAGCTAGCGCTTGGAAATCGAGTGTCAGTGGTGGTATACGCACGTGGTGGTGTACACACTTGGTGGAATGTTGGCATTGTGAAATTAGTCTAGAAACAAATCTCGTTGATGCAAAACGATATCACGCCCAGGGAAGCGCTTGGTTCTCCGACATATATATATATTATTGATCAGCATCAATAGTCGAGTCGATCTAGCCATGTTCGTCTGTCTGTCCGTCCGTCCATATTGCCAACCAATTGAAGCTACAATTTAAATGCAATATTCAATGGTACAATTAGATACTGTAGAAAATTTCATAAAAATCGGTTAAGAAAACACCAAAGAATTTCTGAATACATGTACACACACACATACATGCGCGTCTGCTTCGCATTCTAACAGCATGGTAATTGCTTTTTTCTTTTTTAGTTCCTTTCTATTTTCTATTTTAGTTCCTTTTTTTAAGAAAAGTATTTAATTATTGGTGCGGTCTGTCGCGAGCTCGAGCCCTAACGGAGAAAATATTTTTTTTGCTTTTTGCTGGTGTAGCTGTTGAGTAGAGTCGACAGTAAGTAATGCGGTCAGTTGCGAGTTCGAACTCTGCCAAGGGAACATTTTTTTATTGATTTATTTGGTGTGGGAATAAGAGGGTTCAGGGTATTCCTTAGTCGGGAGCTCCCGACTAGAACCTCTTACGTGTTTTAAGAATGTTTTAGGCAACTCTATTTAGGTTACTAAGCTGCATTTTCTGTCGGTCGAAAAAAGATTGTCTCGTTACCTAAACTTAAAGTAATAATACTCTCCCTCGTTCTATTTGAAGCGTCTTGTATCCTCTTTTTGTAACGAAAGGCCACATGAAAAGCAAAACACACGATCCTCCCCACACGATCGTCCCAGGGAGACCAGGACCTATTTCCCCTATGTACACTCTATTGATCTTCCCCAACATTTTTCAAGGCGCATAGCCACAGTAAGCTAGGAACCCAGAAGAGAAACGGGCTTATCGTTTATGAAATTACGATTACATTATTATAAGCAGTCAATCAAGTAGCTACCGGTACCAATAAGTCGGACAAACAAGTAATTATTTTCCTATATTGTGTTACTATGGTAAACCTGAAACCAAGTTTAGAACCGAATCGCTTCTATTAATAAGCGGAAAATGTTTTAAGGTTGGCTGAACAATTAACTAAAAAGCCGAAACTTGTTCGTGTCTATAGAAGCAAGTACAAATATTACCCTGCTTAAAATTGCGTATAGTCGGACACTATCGACTATTTAGTTGTTTTATGTTCATTTTAAAGATGTTTACATTATTTTTTTATTTCAGTTTGAAGTAGACGGCAGCGGTTGTGCAAAATTTGAATCTGGAGTACGCGGCTTGGGTACAGATGTTGCAATCGTTAGCAGTATGGTTTTCCTAGCTCAATTTATTCTTTCAATATGCATGGGTGTTATTGTTAAACTTACTGGAACTACTACAGCTGTTATAAGTACGGCCAGCTTTTTAAGTTTTTGTGGTGCTTTATCAGCATCAAAAATTATTTATCTAGATCTATAATTTGTTATAAGAAGTATGTTGCAAAACAACCAGATGAATAATCAAAATAATGTTTTGTTCACCTCTAGGGGATATTGTTAACAGCATAAATTCCAAAGCAAACACTGCTATTAAATAATTAATATTTCAAAATAAATATCAATTGAATCTGTTTTTAATTGTAGTATCAATATTGACATACTGGTGCAATAAATATCTCGTTTCATAACTGGTCCTGTGTTTCATTATTCGCTTACACGGATCAACAGTCAATAATATTTCCGCTAACGCAAAGCAAATTATTAATTTCCACTCAAATTGATTGCAATTGCTATTAAATCGTTTGGTGTGTATTATGTACTGTGGTAAAGCTAATCTAGCAATATAAATCGGGTAGCAACGGTGTCGGCGGTTGGCAGCTAATCTTCACAAAATAATTTGGGTAGTATTCACCAAGGCTCTTCGTGGTTGCGTTAGCATGGCAGGGGGGGATCCTCTTTTTCTCTAGCTCTTTCGGCTGGGGAGGGTTCTTCTTGCCATATCTCGATTTGCATACACAATTTTAATTTAGGATTACAGAAACTAAAACCTACAGAAACTAAATTTAGAAGCAGTACTCCGAAAAAACCAAATCTCAAACAGGCACAACTAAACGAGCACTAAAAATGCGTACACAATGGTGATAGAGCATATATACTCCAGGCGAGGTCTTGGATGTAAGCTGACTCTTGCGTTCTATATCCTCCCAGCCATGATCTTCAGCGTTGAGGATTTGGAAGATCCCAAAAATAACATTCTTCTACGTCATTATATTAGCATGTCATCAGGAAAGACAAACTTAGCAATTCATATTCAAAATCCGTAATGAATATTTATTATAAACAAAAACATTATTCAATTAAATTTTACCCATCAGTTCGGTAATCTGCATCTTAGTACAAGTGGCAATAATGACTCAACAATAATTCAGTAAATAAACTAGTTAGTTTATATTTTTATAATGGTTTAAAAATTCTTTAAAAATACTTCATTATATAAAACCGGTAGGTAAATATTTTTCTTATTGCTCAAACTTCTTCAAAAATCTCAAAATTTCGCTGAAGAGCACTTAATAATTATAGTATAGGACTATGCAATGCTAAAAACAAGGAAGAGGTTCAAGTCGGGAGCTCCCGACTAGGGGATACCCTGAACCCTCTTCTTCCAACATTAAATGCATATATATTTTATTTTAGAAGCTATATTGCAAGTTTGGTGACTGAAGCTCTTATTATTTACCAAAATTGCCCAAAAAACAGGAATCGATATCGATTGCTTGGAAACGGAGTAAGTAATCGATTATCGGAAATAAACTCTAGGAAATGAGACTAGGAACACCTACATCTAAAATTTCAAGTCTCTATCTCTAATAGGTTCTGAGATCCTTGCATTCATACATACGGACGGTCAGACAGACGGACATGGCTAGATCGACTCGGCTATTGATGCTGATCAAGAATATATATACTTTATGGGGTCGGAGATGCTTCCTTCTGCCTGTTACATACATTTGGATTTCGCACAAATACAATATACCCTTATGCCCATTTCTAATGGTATAAAAAATGACACTAGTTTATTTAATGAAAGTGTAATCGGCAATCGGTTGCGGCAGCGCAACCAGTTGATCAGTGAATACAAATATAAATATTTGTGAACATATATTTGATTCTGCTAAAAATCTTGTCTTTTATTATGCTTATGTTTCAGCTAGTATTTGAGCCTTGTATAGGTAGAATAAAAGTGGATAAGCATTCAGCAGACACGCACGGCCATAAACTTAGTGATCTAAGCTGAAGCGTAATGTGAAACCGAAAGTCATAGAACGCTCATTAGGTGCGCATGTCAGTTTTGCTGTGCTTATCTGTGCAAAATAAGAATCTATAATCAAAAGAAAATGTACAGACTTACGTACTCCTCGATGAAAGGCGGAGAGTTCCCATCAACTTATTTTTCCGTTGGCTGTCTTTTTGTTTTTGATTTTTTAATTTGTTTTCTTTATATAGATATACATTTGTTTTGAGGAGATGCTGCTTTGCATCCCACTTCGGTCTTTTATCTATTTCATTTTTACTAATAATTATTTCAAACAGATAAGACCAGAGTGTTAGTTTTGTGAGTGTATTTTAAGCTGCAGATTTTTTAAGAAGACTAGTGATGGTAAAGTGCATGGATGATTGGTTATGTAAGTTTTAAGATTAATTACAAAGTATTTTAAAGTGTCAATGTGAGTGCAGTGCAACATATTATATGTTTGATACTAAATCAATTGTCGTTCCGCTGCGAACAGGCTCCTCCCGTCCGAAGTCGAAGACTTTCAACCGATGTGTTCTCGATAGGCAGAACGGCGATCTTTGTAATAGCTCTCTTGTAAAGTCCGCTTGCAGTTTGATCATCTCCATCATCTCCATTTATTGATCTGTCAACTCGGCCGAGAGGTCATCTTAGAGGGGACCGTTATCCTCCTTGAGCAGCAAGTTGTGGCAAGGCTGCAAATTTTTCTTAGGAGCTCGCCACTTTCCACGCTAAGCGATGCTCCACTTTTGTCAAAAGGTCTGCTGCATGTGGCAAACACGCTGCCAGCGGCTAGGACGATTGATGTTCAGATGCGTCAAGTCGGGTTCGTCAGTAGAAGTGTTGGACTTCCCCCAGAGAGCGTGGCCAGACGAAAGTACCTACAAGTCACCTGGATTTTCTGTAATAAAAACAGAATATAACATGGCGCATATATGGCAAATAAAGGTTCAGCATTGCCAACGACGCGGTAAAAATGTTGTTTGGCTGACTTCACTGCGGCTTGCCACCAAAATGTGGCGATTGTGGCGGAGTAAAGTGCATTCGTTGACAGGCTACGTTCAGGCTCACTCATGAAAAGGTTAGACTGATGAATCTTTTTAACGCAGCAATAAAAGACGGAGTAGACAGATCTTCTATTAGCTCTAAGTTGAGAAGCAAACAAAAATGGAGATATAGCATTTTGTTGACGATCGATTTCTGACCTCAGATTTCCAGTTACGTGGAACGTAGGACTGGGTTGCACGCGATCTGCTGGTATTGGAGCCATATAGAAACGACCTTAAGTCCTCCAATGGGCCAGTACCGTTGTCGCAAGGTAGCAAGCAGAAATTGCGGGCCAGTATGCAGAAATGTGTTATGGTAATGCATAATTAATGCGCAGGCTACTGGATGCTGTTTGGGTAAAAGTAAAGGGTACTTGGCTTTCTATTCAAGGTTGGAATTCTAAAGCCGCCAACGCGCATGAGTTCTTTGTGATCTAATATGGGATGCAGAGATCGGAGCTAGCTTTTAAGTGGCAGCGGCATGTTAGAGAATTGTAGAGTAGATGTGTTGCTTGTTTAATCTCGTCCAGAGTTAAGAAATCTTTGGACCGAAGTGAGTTCGTTTGAATGTAATAAATCGAAAAATATATGCGAAAATACGCTGGAGCTTTCCAAATGAATTTTTAAATTTACACGATGAGGTCAAATCCCTTTGAATTGATAGGACTAGTGTATTGTGACGACGCTCTGGAAGCTCCAGTTGATAAACACTGTCTTCAGGCCGTTCTCAGCCGCTGGAGCGCAGGAATGTCGGACCGTTGTGCCTAGGATGCGATTATATGAGATCCAACGGCGTGCATCCACGTAATAAGATGTCAGCAGGGCTCTGCTGGAACGGCACGTAAGTGCGTTCCTGGATTTGTGATTCCCGGTTAGGAACGAAAACATTGAAATTAGACGGCCTTTCTCGTATCCATATACCATATATTTCATAATTTGCTAGCGGTGTCATAGCAAACCGTGGAAATTTCAGACTACGAACATATGAGAGTTACGAAGAGAGCTGAAACCATACTGAATGCAATGACTGCGGAAGGCTTTCGTCCCACCTGACCTTGTCCTTCTAAGGTGCTTGAAGAAAAATCTAAAAAAAATAATCCGAGCGGATCGTAAAATCTGGCTATTGTTGCCTTTTGCTAACAGCTGCTTTATTTGATGTCGAATTTGCCGGGTTCCTCGATGGAATCAACTACAGAGACATTGAAGTCACGGCGGATGCTCTTGGCAGCCATTGGGAAAATGCGCTCCTCGTCGTAAGTAAGCAGTTGCATCGTGCGGATGGCAATAAACGCAGCTGGCTTAGTTCCGTATGTAACTGTATCCAAGGAGTATGTTTTAATCCGGGCTTGATTTTCGCGCCATAAGATGCATTGCAGGAACTGGTCTGGAGGTGTTATGCGTACGCAATGATACATCCTACAGATGTCACCGCAGGCTGCAAACTTAAAAAGACAAAATCCTACCAGTGTCTTGAAGATTTTTTGCTGAATGGATGTACCAACTTAGCCTAATGCCGACTTAGCAGATCCGTCAAAAACGCTAACATGCTGTCCGGCTTCTCCACGCACTGATGCGGCAAATAAAACTGAAGTTTAGTTGGGTTGTTGGTGACAAGCGACATATGCTCCAGACTTAAATATTCTTGCATGAACGCAGAGTATTTATTCATTAGTAGGTGATTTTTGCTAAGCTTGCATTCGAGAGCTTTGAACCGTCTTAAAGCGCGAATATAAGAATCACCCAAGGCGTACGGAATATTGGCCTTAGATGAGGCGTGTGCAGCCTTTCACAAATTATTTCTCGCTGAGAGCGTCGTCATCAGAAGGAATGGGTGTGGTGCCACAGCCATTGTCGACCTTCCAAAAGCGTTTAACTATGCAGGCCAACGATTCCTCTGCTGGTCACGGGTTGCTGTCATTGTGGAGAACAGCTTAAGATGTTTTACTCGAAAGTCCACCAGAGACGATCCTACCGAGTTTCGTCTTCTGGAGTCTCGGCAAGTTATTCTCAATGCGAATTTGACTAACACAAATGAGCTCGAAAAATAGGCTAGCACCAAGTAGTCGATCCTCTGGCTCTTAAAGAACGATGGGTCAGCGAGTTTGACGTTTTTGGGAATTTTCCAACCGGTAACGTCGATTTCAAAATGATGCTGATATTCTGTTATTGTACGCGTTATGTCGGCGGAAAATACTGTGCTGAATTTTCTGTTATGCGACTGAGCAGGAACATCAGCAGATAAGTTAGAGGTTAACGCACGTGGTGGTATACGCACGTGGTGGTGTACACACGTGGTGGAATGTTGGCATTGTGAAATTAGTCTAGAAACAAATCTCGTTGATGCAAAACG